AAACATAACATACTAATTAGTATTGATTCCAAAAAATTTCTATAAAATCTCGTGGACTGTTAAATAATTTTACACACTAATTAAATCATGAATCGTACGCACGAATTTTAGATATAAATGTTGACATAATATTATATATGTAACCAACTATTTAATAAAATTAAAACAACATATAATCCGGCCTGTTATGCATTATATATATTTTCCAACTTAGCACCACCCATTAAATTTATGTAGCTATATAATTTTAGGTTGTGTCAGATGAAGCAAGAGCAATGTACAACGGTGGGAGGGCCGGATTGACCTATTGGAGCCCGAACGTGAATATTTTTCGGGACCCACGGTGGGGCCGAGGCCAAGAGACGCCCGGTGAGGACCCTACTGTAGCTGCCCGATATGCGGCCAGCTACGTGAGGGGGCTGCAGGGCAATGTCGGCCCTGGGAACAGATTAAAAGTCGCAGCTTGTTGCAAACACTATACTGCATATGATCTCGATTTTTGGAATGGCATGGACCGCTTCCATTTTAATGCAAAGGTACATACAATATTATTTCAATTTAACATTATCATTTTATTGGATATATATATATATATATATATATATATTTTTTTTTTTTTTCCCAAAACAATAACTACATTTTTATCAAAGAAAAAAAAAAAAATGTATTCATAGGTTTGGCCGGACTAGAGAATAAGAAAAATAATTCAATTTTGGTCGTTTACTTGTCTAAAATCTTTTTTTTTTTTTTCTTTTTTTTTTTGGGTAAGCTAACCTTTTGAGTTGCATATAGCATCTTGCACTTGATTAACAATTAAATTATTATCTAAACTAAAAGATTTGTGTTATGTGACTTGAATTATCCATTGGATAAGAGTATAATAATGTTTAATGTATTTAGAGAATTGGCCCACCTTTGCATATATATATATATAATTAAAAAACAGAGAATATATCTGAAATGCAAAAGATTAAGATAATAATTAAAAAGGATCATATGATTCGATAGATGTAAGCACGAAATTAAATGACGAGAGGATATCCCATCCTTGCACGGGCCTACCAATACCATATCACAGTTATGTACCATTTGTGACCATATAAATCGTCCAAGTGGGCCCGAAAATTCGACCCTATCCAAGCAAGAATCAATACTTTAAAAGCTAAACCCAATAGCGCTTGGATGAGATGGCTTGGGTCACTTCCAACTTAACCAGTGGTCTCGAGTTCGAGCCCTGGGAATGCAGCAGTGAAAACTCTTGAGGGAGTGCTTTGCCGCCCTTGTGGTCCTACCCGGCTCGATTCCGGATTAGTCGGTTCCCCTGTGGATCCGGAAATCGGAAGGTCCCTGTACCAAAAAAAAAATACTTTAAAAGCTAAAATTAGAGTTTTGGATTTATTTAGACATTTGATCAGTAATATATCTTACTTTTAGATAAAAAAGAGAGCTTTAAATTGTTTTATATTTTTCTTACAAAATTTTCTTACTTCTTAAGATTATTTACTGCTGATCTACCTGTACTTATATTGGGCCTAGGGCTGCAAACGAGTCGAACAGCTCGCGCTTGAGTCAAAGCTCGACTCGAGCTCGAGTTTGACCGAATTCGAATCGAGTTCGAGCTCATATTTTGCATTGTCGAGCGGCCCGTGAGCGGCTCGAGATATATGAAATTACTAAAATACCCCTTGTATATATATATATATATATATATATATATAGATATAGATATATGTATTTAATGGTTATTTTACAAAATTGTTTGAAAAAATTCGAACCGAACTCGAGCAGAAGCTCGACCATTTTGAATTCGAGTCGAGCTGAAGCTCTTGTATTTTTTTATCGAGTCGAGCTCGAGCCCCATAAATCGAGCTCGAGCAGCTAAAAAAAAAAATTCAATCCTGCTCGATAAGGCTGATGCTCGACTCGACTCGACTCGACTCGACTCGTTTGCAGCTCTAATTGGGTCTCAAATAGACTATGATTCATCTATCTTAAAAAATACATGGTTAACTAATTTTAACCCGTTGCGCTGCGACTCATGATAAACTCAATTTTTCTCAAATATTTAATATAAGTGATTAATTTATACAGGTAGGCAAACAGGATTTGGAGGAAACATACAATGTCCCTTTCAAGGCTTGTGTGTCTGAAGGCAAAGTTGCAAGTGTAATGTGTTCTTACAATCAGGTCAACGGCAAGCCCACTTGTGCTGACCCCAGCCTTCTTCGAGACACTATTCGCGGCCAGTGGCGCCTTAATGGGTCAGTCATTTTTTTTATTATATATATATAATATAATGTTTCCTAAATTTTTAAATTGTTTGTTTATATTTATATTTTAATTAAAATTCTAAAACTTGATTTTATGATTTGTTACTATTTCATTATTCAAAATATTAATTTCTATTAATTGTTTATGGATACAAATTAAAAATAGGTACATTGTGTCCGACTGTGACTCGCTTGACGTTTTTTTTAAAGATCAACACTATACGGCCACGCCTGAAGATGCAGCAGCAGCCTCTATTAAAGCAGGTTTAAGTAACATTTTATATATAAAAAAAAAAAAAAAAAAAAAAAAAAAAAAAAAAAAAAAATTAAAAATAATATACATGGGCGTTTTGGGTAAATCACATCAGTTTAATTTTATCATATTAAAAACTTGCTATAGTTTAATTCATTTTAATGTAATTTGACATATTAAATAAAATTTGTAAAATGTCAGGTTTGGATTTGGACTGTGGGCCATTTCTTGCGATCCACACCGAGGGAGCCATCCGAAGTGGAAAACTGAGTGTGGCGGATGTGGATCGGGCCTTGGCCAATTTACTCAGAGTCCAGATGCGCTTGGGTATGTTTGATGGCCCAAGACAGCCCTATCTTAATTTGGGCCCGAGGGATGTTTGCACACCAGCCCATCAACAGCTGGCACTTGAAGCGGCCCGGCAAGGCATTGTTTTATTGCAAAATCGTAATCAGGCTTTACCCTTTGCCACTAGACGCTATCGTACCGTTGCAGTTATTGGGCCCAACTCAGATGCAACAGACACAATGATAGGCAACTATGCGGGTACATATTTCATATTTTTTTTTTTTTTAAAGTTCCAAGTGATTTATATTATTGAATATTGTTAAATAATTATAATTATTATATATATTCTGTTATTATAGGGACTCCATGTAGATACACTACTCCCTTACAAGGTATATCTAGATACGCTAAGACGATCCATGAAGAAGGATGTGCCACGGTAACTTGCACCGACAACCGGCAATTTGGGCGGGCCGAAGCGGCTTCTCGGCAGGCTGATGCTACAGTTTTAGTGATGGGCCTAAGCCAGGTCATCGAACGTGAAGGCCTGGATAGGGTTGGGCTACTTTTGCCGGGCCACCAGCAGGAGCTTGTTTCAAGAGTAGCCAGGGCCTCCCGTGGGCCAGTCGTGTTGGTCCTCATGTCTGGCGGCCCAATTGATGTTACATTTGCCAAAAATGATCCAAAGATTGCAGCTATATTGTGGGCTGGGTATCCGGGCCAAGCTGGAGGAGCTGCAGTTGCTGATGTTCTATTTGGAACAACCAACCCAGGTGTAAATTATTATTATTAGTAGGGTGATAAAAAA